ATGACCTGCAGTTCGACTGATTCAGCGCGTTCGTGGTTAACCACGTGACTCGTCCTCGGCTCTGGTCGGAAGAAGTCGGAAGTGTTCGCGAGCGCTCGGAAATTTCAAAAATGGCCGACACCACTGCCGGTGGCGGGAGGCACGTAGTTTTTCACGGCGTTCGTACGGCAAAGCGGCATCGAATTTTTGCTCCATGACTATCGGTATGGGATAGGATAGGGTTGATTCAACATACTGCGTGAAAATGTGACAAAAAGACAGACTTTTGAAATTTAATGCTCCCAGCCTACTATCGGCCAGATATCGCTTAGGGCACCTTTAAGTGACAGATACACACTAGATTTTCATGGATGAGAAATTATAACTGGTCTGAAACATCGTGAATACCACAAGTCAGGACTATCATGGAGAATTGCATGGTAACTCAATTCTCGAACACAGGCCATAAACATAGTTTGTTAATCAGCCCAAACAGTGAGTAATTTTGTAGAAGATTTATGGTGATATCTACTGATGATTATTACAATCTTTATGTGACTACTTGATTGGTCCATGGAGAGACGTATATATTGAGTTTGTGGCGATGATTTGGGCTGATAGCAACCAGCCTGCCAGGTGTGCAGTGAACCGTTTTGTCATGGTTAATTCATTAAGTTTCATCCTCAAAATAACAAAAGAAAGCCATTCCTTGAATTACACTCATAGCACACTGAAAGCATGGTCGTGGTTTTCAAAAACATTTTCAAAACCTCTCTCCCAACAGATACATGTATATGTACATGTACATGTACCTGACATTGTACGAACATGTCAATTCCAACTCAAATATACACAAGTTCAAGACAACTAAATTATTATTTGTCTATATGTACATGAATCTCAGCTCAACAAGGCAACCAGAGGTGGCAGTCTTCATCCCCCTTATCAATACTGCATTGCACATCTTCCAATAAAAGAATATCACACTGAAGAGGTATGGCCATGTTTCATTTTGTATATTAAGAATCCGAGAAACACACAATGACACACACACATACAAACACACATACATACACAATACATTACATAACTTAGACAAGAACAATACCAAATGATATCCAGTTACAAATGATTAACATAAACGGTACAAACCTGGAATGGCTCGCTGACACCAATGATGCAGTCGAAGTGAGTGCTCCAGTAGCAGAGCAGGTAACAGCCTGGCTCGTCAGGCATGTAAGGAGGCTCAAACAACACCATGCAGCCTCTCTTGCCCTTCCCAAAGCCTGCAGACTCCCCCCACACGTAAGTGTGATAGTCCTTGGGGTGGCTGAAACCCACCTGAGGGAAGTCGAAGGGGGCAGCATCAATAGCAAAGCTTCATTGTTTGTTAAAAAAAGGTTTAATTTAGCCGTTTATGCTTCAAACGGTTCTTCTGATCATGACTTAATTGTGTGTTCTTTTCCATTATGTGTTAGAGACTTCGGCTAACTGACTGTGAATGTAAGACCTAGGCTAGGCTTGGGGTTACATTCACAGTGTTAGCCCAAGTCTCTACGGCTAGGCTTAGGCATTCAAGGCAAGTGACACAAAAAGATGAGATTTCTTGGCAGCAGAAAGGTGTAATAAAAGATCTCTGCTGCAATGAATGTAGAACACTGGTTCAGAAGCTCAGACTGAAGCGCTAACTTTTAAGCAATCAGCAGAAATCTTGAGTCTTTTGTAATCCAGGATTCAGAAGCTCAGACAGAATCTATTAAGAACCTTCATTTTCTTCCCACAACGCATGAATGAAGATGACAGGAGATGCCTTACCTTGTACAGCCCTATCCAGTCCCAGCCACTAGTAGGGATGTCCATCACTACAGAGTAGGAGGCCACGCCCTTGTAACCACACATCCAGTTCCTGACTGGTTCAAACCGCACCAGGGGCTGGTTTTTGTTCAGGTCCACCTGAGAAATGGCAAAATCAGTATTATTTGTTGTTTGATTCACAGGTAAACCACATCTCCCACCAGTTTTGTACAGTAAGTACAAGCTGTGGTAGACCTGGTGAGGAACCACTCACACTGGAAAGGACCCCTAAACCTTTCGGTAAAGTGTGATGGGATCTTAAACATACTTGAGGTGTACATGTGGCTCTCCTAAAACATGGGACCTCCAGTTTTACGTCCCATCCAGTAGGATATCCCCAACTGAAGCTAGGTACTCATCTACTGTTGCATTTGAGTAATGTGAGTTTGGAGGAATCAATTTCTTTCATCCTAGCAGTAAATAGTGGGATTAGGTAGCAGATTCTAAAGGACTTCTAAAACTTTGGCAGGTAAATATCATTCTCTAAATTGGTTGTGTGCCAAGAACTTTGTTAACCTTTGAATTACCAACCTGATGAAAGTATGATTGGCTATTCTGAAGTCTAGACATCCAGGTAATGAGATACACAAGAAAACTGTTACAGTAACTCAAGGAACAGTTACTGGATAGATTCCATAATCTATCAGAACGGAGACATCTTATGAGTTGGGCATATCATGGGCTTGTATAATACCTGTACAATGTCATACATACTGTAGCTGCAGTATATGATCTTAAAGCATAAATGATCTCAATGAAATCCTGATCTTTTATCTTTTATCATTAAGATCTTGATTATATTGATTATTTCAAAATCTATCCCATTACTTGGGTAACAATTTTCTTGTGTATTGGCCATTTTCTCTGTATCCAGATTTTTGGTTCAAGGCCAGGTCAAAGGTGCATGCATCATTGATAAGGATGGATGTGTGAGTCCAGTTTGACCTTACAGATTAGAAACACAACACTGGCTTATGTTTCCCAACGGATCTTCCAGTTTAAATCACCATCTAGGGTCGAGGCTGGGTCATCGGTTTCACCCAGTCATCGCAAATAAAGCTTCTGAATGCAGCGTCGTAATGCTGTTTCATTCTCAGCTGCAGATAGAAAACCAGAATTTCTCAGGGTATAGATGAGTGTTGTCATGTAATATTTCCTGATGATAAGGAGATGGCCACAATCAGAGATGTTTACAGTCTGCCAGGGCTATAAAATGGAGACTTCATTCTTATAAAGGGCAAGGAAAGATGAGATTACAGTTACCGTAGCATTTTACAGACAGTTAAAAGGTTGAAGTCTCACAGGGGCTGTAGAGGCAGTGAATTTTACTTCACTGTGTGTAGGGTCTGGCTTCAAGTTGGTAGAAGCAGGGGCCCTCCCTCTATCTTTCTGCAGTTAACCCCAGACTCAGCTAACCCAAACTAATCACATTGTACTCATTTTCACCTACATCAAGTGATGAATTTCTTGGAATGTGCTTTTCTCAAGTGCATAATTATTGATATCAGGTATACCTATGGGATTCGAACCCAGGACATTTAGGTCCAGAGTGCTGAAGCCCAAATACATTGTATACATGTATATAATACTTTACATGTATATAGGTCATAAATGCCATTTTGATAAGCCATTACAGATGCCTTAATGTCTATCAAAACAAGAACAGGTGATAGATTGGGCTAAAAACACAATGTTTTTATTTGTTTATTTGTTTGTTTGTTTATTTGAATTTTTCACAAAGTGAAAGGGAGGGCAAAACAGGTGCGAAGCACCTTTGCTAGTTGCCCTCCCACATACAAAAACAACAAGAATGTACATTACACAGTCAACAATCTATAATATAATACAAGTAGGGCACAAAATATCATATATTAAACATAATCAAGGTAACAACAATGAATGGAAGAGATAACCATATTGGAACAATATCTAGTGAGGTCTTGAGGCAAGTTTTTGTTTCTTACGACAGGTATATTGCTGTGTCTTGATATATTTATCATTTTCCATGCAGGCAATGACTTTTACCAAAATAAAGTGCCCAGTGGTACATGTAGATCTGTAAATTTCATCTGCCGGGACTCCTGATGGAAAATGCCTCTCAACGTGGCTAACAGCCAATACAAATGAGCGCCAGTATTGCATGGTCTGCCGGAATGCCTCACAAAATGAAGCATTCAACTCGGCACGTTCCATGATAGCCCCTCCGCTGCCTGTTAGAGTTACACTGTATTTCTTTTATTAACCTTGTCAAGATGATGTGCAGTGATTTTAGCAATCCTCCCGCCTGGGTTCCCGGAATTGCCACTTTGAGAGTTTTGAATAAGTGGGGATGTTGTGATGGATGCGATGACTAGACACATCTTACGTTATGTTTCTCTTCTGTAATCGCACTGGGAATGCAACAAATGCTAGTGGATCTGCTGATGCCTTCAATGGTTACATCTATAACCCTGCTGTGATAAAAGTGTTGGAAATATAGCAGTCAGAAATCTTTACGGTACATATTTGCAAGGGCAGTACTTTGCAGTCAACTGGCACCAGATTCTGATCTATTTCAAAAAATTCTACAATATTACATTGTGTATATACCCATCTGTGTCCATAATATCACCAGGGTCCATAATATCGCCACCTTGAGAAATAGTGTGCTTCAAGATATTTTTACTGCAACATACTTTTGGTATGCACTCCTTCACACATCAAATGTACATACCTAGGGTATGTTGCAGTAAAAATATCTTTAAGCACACTATTTCTCAAGGTGGCGATATTATGGATCCTGGTGATATTATGGACACAGATGTTATATATTAAGCCCTTTTACTTTTAGTTTGTGTGACTTGATTCAATGAAAACTGTACCCACAACACAAGGGAGATTTAAGTGTCATAATTCAGGGGCTGCATACCAACAGAATTATAATCACTGTCAGTGAATTCCAAGTAAATTCTTAACAATGCCTCCATAACATCACCGTGTATTTCCTTTAGAACTTTAAGTTTGTGATGGTCTTGATATAATCAAAGAGGTTCCTACAATACGACCATATTTGTTTTTAGGACCCCTCCCCAAATTGTTAACAAAATTCATTTTTCTATCTTTAGGCCACACCAATTTAATTTGTTGGTTCTCGGATTTTTTCAGAAAAAATATGAAGCGACAGGGCGAAAAGAAATAAAAATAAAAACAGGTCTAGGCATACTATTATAGGCTTAAATGCTACGAAATGAGCCATGAAGTCAACACAAAAGGCTGGGTTAAAATTTAAACATTGAATTTTGAACTCTTAATCAAACCACTGCAATGATAGGTGGGAAAACTGTAACAACTAGGAAGAAAAGGACTTTCCTCAATTGTTGGGGGCAAAACATAGAGCAACTTTTCAGTTGATTCAGATCCAGAATCATTTTTCTTTTTTGCAAATCAGAAAAAAACGAAGAGGCGAATCCGAGAACCAACAAATTAAATTGGTGTGGCCTTAGACATAACAAGGCTTACATGAATTACGACACTTTATTCCTGTATCCATAGTCATAAACCCTGCAGTTTTAATTTGGCAAGTTGTACATTTTCCATTAATTCATGTGTCAACCTCATTCTACATAACATTTAATCAAATGCAGGTATTATTAATTTGTTATTAAAGATATACATTCTCTTAATGTATATACGGGATGATCATGAAACTACTCAAAGTTTTAAGTCACACAAATACACTATGATAAGTCAGGTCATGCAAATATAATACAATCAAGTCATCATTTACTAGAAGTAATATCATTGTTGTAGTATTCCAGTAATTTCTCAATATCTAAGGGGAGTTTGTATTCCTTTAGTATAATTAGGACAATAAAGTATAAACACGTGTATCTAACATGCATTGATGAAAAAAATCAAACTCTAAGTCAAACAGAAATAACAACATAAGTCATATCAATTATCCCCCAGCAGCTGTGTTATTGTTGTTGTGTTTCAGTCGCTTCTGTATCTATGGGGACTCCATCTTTGTTCTAATGGAAATATCGTGTAAGTCTGCCTCCACAATCCATCAACCGTAACAACTTTTCTCCCAATCTTCCCATCCCGCTTCCTAAAAGATTTCTCCATCAATCAAAAATTCCACGGCTGTGCGGGCCCTCCCCCAGGAGCTGACAGTCAGCGTAATAACTCAAAAGTTGGACGAGACGTCTTCTCTGCTCAATAAAGAGTTTTTATATCCTCCGCCGGCATACAAATTAATGTGGGTGAGCAACGTTCAGTCGGGTATGACTCGGGAGTGCTGAAGCCATTTTTCTGTGGCAACACCAATACCTACTTTTCTATGAAGGGCTGTGAGTTTGGGAATGTCTGCGTATCTGTATCTGCCTGTATTGCTTAGCTACGGCATATAACCATGGCTTCAAAAAGCCTTATAGCATTTCCCTATTTATCAGAACAGAAGTGAAATAATTAGATGTCTAACCTGATTTTTTTGCTTAGGTTGTTGCGGCTATAGATCGTGGCCCCTTACAACTTACATGCATCTAGTAAAAACTTCTACAAAGTATGACTTTTATGTGTCTTTTATGTTTCTTATAAACCTACAATGACAGCAACTCCATTTTATTGTCAAAGTTGTAGGGCTAATTATTATAGCGTGCAGGTCAACATCAAAATGCTGGTACGTTGAGAATGGAATTAGTCTATAAATTTGCAACTGTGTAATAATAATATTGTAACGATCCAATCCCAGGGTTTATGGAATGAGCAGAAGAGACGAGTGGAGTACTGTAGATCTGTATGTATTCTTCAGAACATGTCGGTAACTCTAACTCAACTGGATATAACTGGTTCCTAGTGGACTTGCCTACTCGCCACCGGGGGTGGCAGGTTATACCATTCCCATAGGGGGGAACTCTATGGTTCAGCATATTAGATCCTTACACTCTTCCCCCCTACAACAAGTAAAACTTCTCCTGAAGTTTACAGATATAACAATGTATATATAATTGTATATAACAATGTATATAAATATACAATGTATAAGTATAATAGTAGTCCAACATAACAAAATGCAACGGGGAACAGTCCGTATCCGTAACAGTACGAATAAAACTACT